AGACACGGGGAGCTCTTTTATCCAGGAGAAACCTGTGGTAATTTTTACTGCCCCTCTGCAATTCATCTTCAGCAATCTTTCCCCAAGTCAGTCCATGCAGTTTCTCTAGTCACCACACAGTCTGGGCAATTTGAAAATTCACCTGCATCCATTTACTCTTCTTGCTATCTTGATAGGAAAGTTTTACCTAGCACTGACTAGTTAAAAGCAAATATAAACCAATCAACAGCTAGCAGGTTTTTGTTACTGCTGTTGCATTTGGATGCTGCACTAGGTAGAACAACATCATCAGATATGTTTTAGGACAAGGTCACAGGCTTTTAGTATTTACTAGCCAGTGCTGATAGCAGTAATTGGGATCACTGAACTACTCAATTCAGGGGGCTTCCAGAAAACCACAGGGACATTTTGCATACGTCATTACAATCCTAGAATTCAACCTGAAAAGTTTTTTGTTACGTCAGGGTAGTTGTACAGTATCAAGAATGTGGGTTTTGCTATCAGACTGCTCTAGATTTGAAATCTGCCTCCTGCTAGCTGTGTGACATTCTGCAAGTTACATAATGCTATAACAATAATAATACCACTGTTAATAACAATGTAACAACGTTACACTGCCAAACACACATTGAGTGCTTACCATATGTTAGGCAGAGTTTGCTTAATATCGTTTATACCTACTATCTTATTTAACCCTCATACGAATCTTCTGAGACAAATACTATCATCAGCATTTTATAAATGAGTAAAAAGAATAACTTAATTATTCAGGTACACACAGTTAGCATGTTATCTGTGGCAGGAATCCACTATTCTGTCTCCAGATTTCAAGCTTTTAACCATAGTCAACTGCCTCTCTGAACCTCAGTTTCCTAATCTGCAAGGTAAATGTGAAAGAACTCTCCTTGTAGTGCTGGGGAGGAGCAGGGATTGTGCAACGGCTGCTTCTAAAACTTGTCATTTGGTTTTGCTGCTGGTAGTGTTGTTGTTGTTATATAACCTTAGCCCATTTCTAACAGGAAGGATGAACGCTTACTTTCTTCTTTGCACACACGTTTTTATGAACAGAGCTAAGCCCTGCTCACTTAGGAAAGGGTGGTAGTATCTCTAGTTTCAGCAGGGCCAATGAATGGGGTCAGCTAGTGACTCAGGCACCCTATATGTGACCCTCTGCAAGCCTGCCTGGAAATACAGACTCTCCAGTAACCTGCTCCATTTGGTCAGATAATCAGTCCTTCCCTTTGGAGCCATGGAGAATTTTAGGCATGAATATGGGACCATGGTCCAAGGTACAATCTGTGTCTTTTTGCTTTTTCCCACAAAGAGAAGATCTTTCCTGCTGGTGGTTCTACCTGCCATTCTTCCTGGGATTTTGCCCAGTCAACTTAGTGGAGTTATCTGACCCTATAGCATCCTATGACTTAAAAAAAAAAAAAACAAAAAAAAAAAACGAAGTATTGCTCTGTATCCCAGGCTGGAGCACAATGGTACAATCTCTGCTCACTGCAACCTCCGCCTCCCAGGTTCAAGCAATTCTTCTGCCTCAGCCTCCCTAGTAGCTTGGACTATAGCTACAGCTGGGACTACAGGCATGTGCCACCATGCCCAGCTAATCTTTGTATCTTTAGTAGAGACGGGGTTTCCCCATGTTAGCCAGGATGGTCTCTTGACCTCATAATCCGCCTGCCTTGGCTTCCCAAAGTGCTAGGATTACAGGATGAGCCACCGCACCCCACCAGCATCATAAGACTTTTTAAAGGCTACCGCTGACTGAGCGTCTCAATGCAAAATACCTCGTCCAAAGCAGCAGTCTGGTTCAATGGCCCTGACTTTAGTAGCAGTCCCTTTTTAAACACTAACAAGTAACTGAGAGCAGTGGTGTAAAGCATCATTGGCTACTTAACTGTGAGCTTGAAGGCTGGATGCATAATATACACTTATGTTATAGAAATTCTTTTAGACCACACATAGAGTATGGAACAGTCGCCATCCAAAGCCTCCCAGGCACCAGGCGATTTTTGTGCAGAAAGGCAGGACTGACCCGACAACTTCTAATCCACGGAGGACAATCTGCTGGTTGTCACCCAATCTTCTCTCTCTCTGCAACATATGGGCAGGCAGGGATGGATAAGGCTAAATCTGGAGCTCCTTCTGCTCACTGCACTGCAGCCATGAAGGCTCTAAACCATGGCATGTATGAAAAGTACTTAGTGTGTTACACAGTTATTTAAGTACCTCCAGGTTAAAATGTCCAAGCAGCATCTCTTAACATATGGCCCTAGGTCTACCTGCATATGTCACACAGAATCACCTGGGTGACTGATGAAAATGCAGATTCTTGTGCACATTTGTCTATTTATCAGTTTATTGTTTGTCTCCCTTCTTAACATGGAAGCCCTGGAGAGTAGACGCTGTCCTGTTTACCCTGACCCCAGTTCCTACAACACTGCATAGCACATAGCAAGTGCTCAATAAATTTTTGTGGGACGAATTAATTCCTGGTCCCCAGGCTGACCTACTGAATCAAAATGCCTAAGAATGGGGCTATGCATTTTAAACAGGGGCATGGGTGATTATTATGCTCACCAAATTTTAAGAACCAATGTTCTAAGGTAATTTGGCCAATTCTAAGTTAGAGCAAAAGATGGTAAGTTTCCTCTCACAAGGCCTCCATATTCACTGTCTAGTCAGACATTAAGGTAAAGATATTAAAGCTTTGGGTTCAACTTTTCCTTCTAGCCATATTCCTCCAACAAGTGTTTATCTACCACCTGCCATATGTCAGGCTCTGGGTCCTAAGTAGACAAAACAAATACGGGTTTGGAAGACAGAGTGCTGAGGAGAAACTAGAGCTAGCCCCATTTCTTTCCAGTCTGCCAGAGGTGAACACTTGGAGTTGATGTTTGACAAGATACGCCCCCCTCCTGCCCAAAGCTCGCTGATACACAAAAGAAACAGGCCATATGTTCATTACTATTTTCCCGGCAGGTTTGGATGACAGCTCTGGCTCATGAAAGTCAGATCTTAAAAGATTTATCTTATTTTAAAAGACTCCAGCCTTTCCAAACAGGTTTCCTATATGTTCGGTGCCTTTGAGTTTGTTCTGGAAGCTTGGATTATATTTCTAGTTACTCCCTGGCCTTTTACCAGCATTTGATCTTGGGCAGTCACTTCTCCTCTCAGCCTATTACCTTACTTGAAAAATAAGAAGGTTCAACTAGAATCGGACATGTCTTGGAACCCCTTCCAATTCAAATGTACCCTCATCTCTGACTCCTCACTGCCATCTTACTGCCTTATACTTAACAAAATATTAAGTATGATATGATTTGATGAGCAAATAATGATTGTCAAACTAGTCTACCCCAAATTCTTCCAGGCAGAGGTGTTTAGCTTGTGGTAAACTTGGGTAAAATTCAAGATTTACAAAAAACAATTTCAAAGAGTTCTCACTCTCAATTTTCTTGTTTATGGTAATTTTAATGTGCTTTAAACTTTATGTAAAAGATAAAGATAATACACTTTCTCAGAACCTTGAACACTTTGTTTATATCAGGGCTGGAGCAAGGTATTTTAGCACAGCCTGATCTGATGGGGAGAGGCTGAAAAACTGCTTTAAGAGATGCCGCCAGGCAAAGCTGTGAAGTGTAGGAAGAATTATAGGGAGTGAGAAGCTCTCTACATGCTTTCCTCAACCACACCACTCTCTCGTCTCTCCCCTCAGTCTCACAGAAGTTCCCCAAGGGTAGGCTGCTCTAATCCAAGTTCATATTCTTGGCATCAAATGTACCTGTAATGCCGTTTTTTTCCCATTCCAATGTGACAAACTAATCACTGGTAACTTGTCCATTACCATTGCCCAGGTAATTGTCTTTCTCTGGGAAACAGCTTCAACAAAATCAGTGAGTCCCAATGCTTTGAGGTTTCATGTCTGCTTTATATGCCAATTATGTTATCATACCTCCTTTACTGGCCTGAAAAAAATGGGTCAAAAATATAACACCCTTCTCGCTATATAATGCTCAAATTATTTTTGAAATAAAGGCTATAGAAGTAATTCATAATAAATTAACTTATTTTAATATGTAAAAGCCTAAGTAAGACAGCACTAGAAGCTATAATGAAGTCCAATGCTTGCTGCATGTCTAGACTCACAGGAGAGCCACAAATGTACTCTTGTGCCAATGACAAATACCTCTCGCTGCTCACTATATGCCAACAGTATCCCACAGCCATTTATCGTGATAATCACCTCTACCATCAGTTATTTTCCAAATAGCCTTTTTAAAACCTACATCAATGACCCTGAAGCAAAACTGGCCATGTTAGCAACCTCCAGAGAGCTATTTTGACTTAAAGAACGTTCCTCTGCCTCCATTACCATGGTTGATTATTATAATAGGAAGCAAAGCACTGTTTTTTTTTTTTTATTTTAAGAAAGAAACATTTTTAGGGTTGAAAGCATATTTGAAAATTGAGCCCATGAATTTTTGGTCCTCTTTATGCTTTTAGCACTTGGAATGTCGTTAGGTAGCTTATTTACTTAGCATCTTCATCCAGATGTTTCAGGATGGATTTTCTTTTCTTGGTGTGTCATTGGTATGTGAAATTGCAGGTCAGTTTATTAAAAGGTTTGGAATAGAAAGGTTTTTCCGAACTCTCCTTTCATTGCCAAACGTTTTGCTCAAAATCAGGCTTCTTCTAATTGAATTAAGAGGATGACTTAATAAGAAGGTTGTGTGCACAGCTGGGGGCCATTATAATTGTTCTACGGAGAACAACACAGTATGGTCAGGAGTCTGCAAAATGGGCCAGAAATTATAGTCATGCATCATCCAGGCAGGTAAATGCATTCTTCCTGGAAACAGTCAATGAGTTGTTTTCACTGAGTGTTATTATCAACAGTTGAGGGTGGGACTTTACCCTCCTGCGGCCGCTTATGTTGTAAAGTCGAGGAAGCAAATTACTCAAAGCAAATCTGTATTTCTTTTTCCTTCCAGAGGGAAAATGATCCCATCTGATCTTGAAAGAAGGATTCTTGAAGCTAAACAGAAAGTAAGTTTCTGCCAGGAGCTTTATCCAGCCCATATTTCTATTTCCATCCACCGGAGAACAAAGTGTGTTTTGGTTTTATTTTAAACAGAGGATCCAAACCTCAATCTCTCAGGTTTGGTGAGAATATAGAATTCTGCATCCAGTCACTATTTATTTCTCTGAGTTATAGGCTCTGCTTTAAAAAAATTTAAATTGCTGAGTAAATATTATGTACAGAGATACAGTAAGAGTTTCTAAAGCATTTGTCTGCCTCGGTACTGGGGGTTGGCATGAAAGACACACACATTTGAAAGAGTATTTCCAGAGGTGGAGAAATAGCAGAATACTAATGCAGTATGTGAGGGACCCTGGTGCAGTTCTTCAGAAGGGGCAAGTTTTTCCCATCTAGGGGCATGCTGATAGCATTGGCTCTCCGTCTTATTTTGCAGGAAGCAATTTAGAACTCTTTTCAGAAGTAACACATTCTGAAGGCATGCTCATGATTCCCAAAGCTCTAGAAAGTCATTTACAACCCCCGATGGCTCACAGATCAGAGAATTTGTTTCTAAAATTCTGTTTACCGGTTGGTAGATATAATCTACAGTTCCTGATTTAATGACATGCACGTTCATTTGATGATGCATATGGATGTCATTATTTATGCTCATATGCCCTTTCTCATTTGGTTTTGTTTTACTGAGTGACAGGCAGCAGGAGAAGGTTTCCCTCATTCTTGTACAGATATTAGAATCACGTCTAGTAACATCAACTACAAGATCAAACCTTTGCTGCCACCTAAAGACTGACGCCGTAACATCATGTTCTATAGACAGGACAGAGTCCTTACGGAACGAGTGACTATGGCGATCCTGTTTGTGGCCTTCTTCTGCCTTCTTCCCACCTGTTATTTCAATCAGTTTTCATTTAGCCATGGTCAGAGAAACTGTGGACTAGTCAGATGGATGAAAGTCGTGGCTTATTATTTTAGCCCCTCTGTGCTGAAATGCCAAATAAATTATGGGGGCATTTTCCAAATAGGAACAACGGGCTGGTCAGAGCTACTTCTCTTAATTTTTCTGCCTGTTCACTCTAGGGGACTTACGAAGTTCCAAAGCCTCTTTTTGAATAAGGAATACTTGAAAGTGAGCAAAGGAGGTACAAAGGGCCAGAAAGTCTACTGGAATATATACATGTCTTGGGGACATCACTAACAGCCTCTGGGTTTATTGCAGCCTCTTCTGAAAATCAGAATGTCTGTTCTTATAAGACAGTAAGATCCAACAGCATGGCCTAGAGAACTCAGATTCCAGAGAGTGAACAGCAGTTTGTCCCACGTCCTAGGGTATCAATAACTCATCTGCTGCTTCCCAAAATTCAGACATGTGTGTTAGGGGGGGAATTTCCATGGCTTCTAATCAGCTTTTAAAAAGAACCCTTGAATCTGTTTTCCATGATTTGGGGCTTTCTCGTTCGCACAGGGATTTGTTCCTTTCCTCGTGAGTGCCACAGCTGGAACAACCGTGTATGGAGCATTTGACCCCCTCTTAGCTGTCGCTGACATTTGCAAGAAGTATAAGATCTGGATGCATGTGGATGTAAGTATCCCTTAGGGACTGGCCACTAAAATGTCCTTGCATGCTTTGCCTCTGGGACACATGAAGGAAATTTGTTTTCTCTTTTTTTTAACTTGATCAGCTTATTTTCAGAGTGGTGAAATTAAAGCTTTTAAAGATGGCTGAAGCAAATTAGCACACAACTCACACTGTACACAACATGCACCAGAAGCATCCTGAGGCTGATTATGCCTTAATGTCCCCAACATGGTAATATTTGTATTTCTCTGATCAGTACCCAAGCTGACTGCTTTGTTTTCAATTCATTGAGCCATTGCATCTAATGGAGGAATACAGGCTGCACACACAGTCCCACACATGCAGCTTTTCCTCACTTACCAGGATGGTCAAAAGAGTAAAAAGGAGTTGCATTGATGTAGGAGACCCAGAGGATTAAAAAAAAATCCTCAAGCTCAAGTTAGATATTCCTATGTTTAGAGAGGAAAACAGGCTTGACAACTTCCTGGGAAATACGGACCAGCAAAGTTCCAGTTTCTTAGCTTTGTCAGGTAAGAAGATAAATTATATTTGAAAGGTTTTGACTTCAGGCCTTATCACACTAAACAATAATGGAGGTGTGCCCGCCAGAACATTTTTTAATAAAAAAAAAAGTGTCATGTTTTAGAAGGATTGAAGGGATTTAAGTGTAGATTTGTATTACTCAGTGTGATTTGAAGATTAGCTACCACCTGCAAACTGTTAGTGATCCACATGAGATAAAGAGTTTGTGTCAAACCATCGCTAATCACAAACCATCACAAACTAAGCACAATGCTTGACTCAGCTGATAATTTTTTCATTGCAAGACTTTCTCAGTGAAGGAATGCGTAAGTTGATGTTCATTTGAGTGCAAGATCCTTTACGTTGTTATGGGCCAGCACCAGATCTAAGCCAGTGCTGTGACAGTGACCTATCCCTGGCTTTGCTCATTTGGGCTTAATAGTAATTATTCAGACCAAATTAACGCTCTTTTCTTTTTGAGACAGAGCTCTGCCGCCCAGGCTGGAGTGCAGTGGCATGATCTCAGCTTACTGCAACCTCCGCCTCCCGGATTCAAGCAACTCTCCCACCTCAGCCTCCCTAGTAACTGGGATTACAGGTGTGCACCACCACACCTGGCTAATTTTTGCATTTTTAGTAGAGATGGGGTTTTATCATGTTGGCCAGGCTCATCTCGAACTCCTGACCTCGTGATTCACACACCTTGGCCTCCCAAAGTGCTGGGATTACAGGCGTGAGCCACCATGTCCAGGCTCATTAATAGTCTTTTCTTTAAGAGCACAAAACTTCCACTGGCTAAGCTGGGTGCATTTCTATTATTCCAGAGTATTCACGTAAAGCAATCACCAATCTTCTTTACCCTCCCTGATTCACAGTGTGAGTCATTTATTAGGCTACCAGAGCCCCTTTCATTTTACGCTTGAAGACACTGAGAAAAGACTGAACCACCTCCGTACCATTAGTGACCTAGGTCTCAGGACTGGAAAGCCTGTGAGACCTTGCTAGCTGATTCAGGAAGAGGATTACCTTACAACTTCAAAAGAATGTCTGTGTGTCCTGAGCCAACAGAAGCTATGGGTCATTCCTCTGGGCCTTATACTTAAATTAGAACTAGGGAATCTTTTAACCAGTTTTATTAGCTTTTCTTTGAAACATACCAAGTTTACCACTTACTCTTATTAGCTTTGACATTCATACATTCTAAATTATAGTAGAAAAAAAATCTTAAAATAGTACACATTTGGAAAATCTGATAATTTTTCAAAGTGCAAAAGAACTGGGCCGGGCACAGTAGCTCATGCCTGTAATATAAAGCACTTTGGGAGTTTGAGGCTGGTGTATCACCTGAGGTCAGGAGTTCAAGACCAGCCTGGCCAACATAATGAAACCCCATCTGTGCTAAAAATACAAAAATTAGCTAGGCGTGGTGGTGGGTGCCTATAATCCCAGCTACTTGGGAGGCTGAGGCAGGAGAATTGCTTGAACCCAGGAGGCAGAGGTTGCAGTGAGCTGATATTGCACCATTGCACTCTAGCCTGGGCAACAAGAATGAAACTCTGTCTCAAAAAAAAAAAAAAAGGAACTGAACTTACAACAAAATTTGGGGGAAGCAATTTCATCATAAATGAATTTTATAATCCCATTAAATTTATCTCAGAATTATTTGTACACACAGTGGAAAGTTAATATTTCTAAATGAATCTCCATCTTGACATTCGGTGTTTAAAGGAGATTCCTACACCAATTCAAATCTTCAACCTTGATCAAGCACACATTTTTAAGACATGTGTTCTAATTGCTCAGCTAATTGACTGGTATGAATCTTTTCTGCTTGTGGATTTTGGGTGAGGTTTTTCTTTTGGACACAAAAACTATCACAAATCACACATCAGTGAACTAGAGTTATGAAACCATTTCCTATTTCTGGGATCATTTAGACTTGTCAAAAGAGTTTTCCCTGCAACTTGGAAGCTGTTTAATGGCCCTCCTGCCCATCTTCTCTGCCTGACACTGTTGGGAACACAGGGTCTCTCATTCTGAGAACATGACTTCACTAGGACTAACAGTGCCAGTGATAGGTTTGGGAGAGGGTCTTTCTCCATCTCCTGCAGACCAGGAAATAAGCCTCCAAGGTGGCTCCTTAACACCCATATAAATGTGGGATAGAGTCTGGGACTTTAGAATGGCCCTTCAATATAAACTCGGAAGGTCTAGTGCCGGAGGAAGGTGGTCAACTCCCTAAGTTGCCTGGGGTCAAGGAGATGATTTTCACCCTAGGAGACTCTCATTAGTCTAGAAGACACCTAACTATAGAAATCTAGGCAATCACAGCTGGGCGCAGTGGCTCATGCCTATAATCCCAGCAATTTGGGAGGCCAAGGTGGGTGGATCACCTGAGGTCAGGAGATTGAGACCAGCCTGGTCAACATAGTAAAATCCTGTCTCTACTAAACTACAAAAAAATTAGCGTGGGTGTGGTGGTGTGCTCCTATAATCCCAGCTACTCGGGAGGCTGAGGCAGGGGAATCTCTTGAACCTGGAAGGCCAAAGTTGCAGTGAGCTGAGATCACGCCACTGCATTCCAGCCTGGTGACAGAGCAAGACTCCGTCTCACACACACACACACACACACAAAGAAATCTAGGCAATGACAAACTGCTACGATTTTCATCTTACGATCTTTTTATTTTCAGGCAGCTTGGGGTGGTGGATTACTGATGTCCCGAAAACACAAGTGGAAACTGAGCGGCGTGGAGAGGTATGTTGCATTGTTCTTATTAACAACATAAAGTGTGAAAAGCCAACTGTGAAACACAAATCACATCAATTTCCAGGAACTCTTGAATAGTGGGTGAGCTCACTCTACCCAGTGCCTGTGCTCCTTGCCTTATGTGGTATTATATGTGTAAACAACAGAAAAATCAAATATGTAAATATTATGTGTAAACAACACAAAAATCAGAACACACATCCAGTGACTCAGGCAGAATGTCTTTCAGATGTAGAGATTCCTTTCTAGGGTCTATTCCTGGGATCTCTGAACCAACCACAAAAAATTGTTTAAAACCTATGGGCAGCCCACATTTTCCAGGGAGAAGATGTATAGCTTTTATGTTTCATAAAAGGATAATATCCGCTGCTTAAAAAAAAACACCACAAATAATTTCACAAAGCAAATAGGCACCTTGTAACTTATCAGTGTTGAAAGTTTTGGTTTGGGGTCTAAGATGGCTAGTTCACTTAAAGTGAGACATACTAGCGATAACCTCATCTCATGGTTTCATTCCCGTCATAACTTTTCTCTGACACTGCTCTGACTGATGCTGCAAAGCACCTTTTATTTAGAGCCTACACAGAAGACTGTTGAGAAAAGCTGAAAAACACGAAGTCGATAAGTCTGATTAGCATAAAACACATTCAGGTCCAAAGAAAAGAGAAAAACAGAATGTAAAATACAGGCTCTGGTTCTGAACCACAAGCAAAGAGAGCCCAGTTCTTTCACCACACCATGGCAGATCAGACACAGTGGTGAAATCTGACACTCCGGATGACCAAGAAAGCCTGAATTCATCAGAGGCTGCCAAATGCCCACCATGCCCTGCCAAGTCGCCAGATGCTGCCCAGCAAAAGCGTCACACTGGCTCTACTGCTAGACATCTTGGCACAGTTTCTGTTACAGGACAAGGAGAATGCTGATGGAGCGCAGAAGCACTTGTGAGCCCTGGGCATGTGGGAAGCCCAGCCAGAGTGGCTGTGCAGAGGGTGCGACATGACGCCCAGGCCCAAAATGCACAGAGATCCCATGAGTGTGAAAAGAGGGGTAGGGTTACTGGGCTGGATTCAAGAGCATCCCACTAAATTAGTGGAAAGAAGGCAAAAAAGAGTTGGGATACACCAGCGAAGGCCCATGTCAGAAGGGTCACTGTCCCTGAGTCTGATGGCCGGGGTCAGGGCCTGGCCTGAGCACAGCTGGGTTAAGGCGCCTGGAGCCACCCAAGCTCTGATTGCAGGGCTGCATTGAGACATTGGTGGATGAGGACAGGCCTGTCTCCCTCCCAGAGTCAGCCAGTGCCAGGCCTCTGCTCTTGGACCCTTGAGGCTTCTCCTAGGCCTAATCCCTTTCCATTATGAAGATCTGCAGGAAAGCAGAAGCTTAAGGAAGAGGCAATTAACTAAACAGGGAGAGACAATGAAAGAGAGAACAACTCGGAAGGTACCTGCTTGCAGGATAAGAACAAGAATTAAATTCATGTGCTTTCAAGACAGGTGGCCTAGATCCAGTACTTTCTCTTCTGTGAGTTTCTGACTGGCACAAAAAGACTGTCATTTTACCTTTGATGCCACGTGCAACTGCAAATGCTGAAAGCCCTGGCACATCCTCCACTTAAAAACTCACAAAAGTACCTACCCTGAGCCTTAGAAAAATAAACACCCACACAATTCTGTACCAAAGACTATTATCTGAGAGCAAAGCTTAGAACGTTCATCAAGGAACACAGAGTTCTCTTATTGCCACACTTCTTGAAACTGTATTGTAACTAAATTTTTCAAATAGAATAACAATATATGAAGTCCTAAAAAATGAGGGGACTGCTGGACCCCCCTTGGCCAACCCATTTACCCAAGGATATTCCTCTCACTGACTTATTAGTAAAAGGTGTACTTTCTGAGTACACTTGGAAGACCAGTGGAAACCACATAATGTATATGGCCACAAGTTTAGGAAAGAAATGTGTCTCGCTTAGGGAATGACATTTTTCCAAGTGCTACAAACCAAAGTCTAAAACTCACTCTAAAAGTAGAGGAAATCCACAGTCAATTCTTGTCCCCAAATTCAGAGGCTCCTTAGTAGTCACAGGGAATCCTGAATGCCATTCTCACAACAAAATGACACAAGAGGGCCAGTTATGGTGGCTCTTGCTTGTAATCTCAGGACTTTGGGAGGTGAAGGTGGAAGGATCACTTGAGGCCAGGAATTCAAGACCATCCTGGGTAACAAAGTGAGACTCCATCGCTACAAAAAGATTTTTGTTTTAAATTAGCCAGGCATGGTGGCATGCAAAGCTGTGGTTCTGGCTACTCAGGAGGCTGAGTGAGGCAGAAGGATCACTTGAGCCCAGGAATTTAAGGCTGCAGTGAACTATGATGGCACCACTGCACTCCAGCCTGGGCAACAGAGACCCCCATCTCTAAAAAAATAGATTAGTTAAATGGCACAAACACCTGGAGCCCTGCCTGGCATCCTCTTTAAGAACCAACCAAATTCTCAGAAAACAGCTCTCTTCCCTGCTAGCATTGTTAAAATATCTTGAGATGGTGCCTCTGAGAGTGCACACCACAAGGCCTGAGACTCCAGAGCATGACTCTGTTCGTCGTATTTTTAGTTCATTTACTTTTCTTTTATTTATTTATTTTTGAGGTGGAATCTCATTCAGTCACCCAGGCTGGAGTGTGGTGGCACTATCTTGCCTCACTGCAACCTCTGCCTCCCGCATTCAGGCAATTCTCCTGCCTCAGCCCCTTGAGTAGCTGGGATCCCAGGTGTGCGCCACTACTCCTCGCCAATTTTTTTTTTTTTTTTAGTAGACATGGAGTTTCACCACGGTGGCCAGGATGGTCTTGAACTCCTGGTTTTAAGTGATCAGCTCGCCTTGGCCTCCCAAAATGCTTGGATTACAGGTGTGAGCACAGTGGCTTAAAATTCAAGGCAAGGAAACAAAGACTCAAGAGACAGACATGGGAGCAGATTGGAGAGCAGAGAAAGAAATGGTTCCTTCTGTGATTACCAGGAGCTTTCGCCAAGCAGAGCAGCACTGGAGCTGAGCACCATGGCATACAAGGTACTTCATCAGGCAGAAATGGAAAAGTGCATTCAGGCTGAAGAGACACAAATGTGAAAGTACACAAGGTCTTGGAGAAAGTTTAAACAAGTTTGGTTGGAGGATGACAGGGTTTCACAGCAGTGGCCAGGACATGGGTGGAAAATGCAGAAGTCTTGGCCAGTGAGTTTCAGCCCAGGGCCTGCCTGGAGAGCCAGGTCAGAATCCACGGGGATGCTTCCCATGAAACATACATCCCTGAGCTGGGTGTCACTGCTGTGTGGGCCACCATTATGCATGGAGAGCACTGGATTCCTCATGGGGGACAAAACCCGTGGAAAACATTTGCTGCGGGAGCCATAGCAGGCTTTAAGCCGAGATGCAATATGATCTCACATGTGTCTTGGCATTAACTCTGCATTAGAGAAGAGATGGGAGCCAGGGGCTGACTAGAAGCTATTAAGCTATTAGGAGTGTCCAGGTATAGGATGGGAGGGAAGCTGAGTGTGTAGCAGCAGAAAAGGAAGTAAGTGGATGGACCTAGGAGAGTGGGAGAGAGAGAACTGTAGGGGCATTATCAAGACAGGGAAAAAGACATGAAACCAAGGACAACAGTGAGGTTTGGAGGCTGGATGCCTGGAAGGAAAATGGCACCAGGAATACAAATATAGAGGAGAAAGAATCAGTCTAGAAGGCTGAGCAGTGGTGAGTGGGGCTTACATATTTAAAGCACAAATAAGAGCGCAGGAAGATGTCTTTAAACAGTCCTGCTGGATTCAGTTCTCTCCAACTGACAAAAGCTGCAGAAGCCACATGACCGAATCCCACACCAAAACATTTTGAAATGAACCTGAGGCTTTTTTTTTTTTTAAATAAATTGCCAACATTTCTCAAATAAACCAAGGTCATGTCATAAAATCAATCTGCAGGGCTTTTTGCCATCTTTATGCCTCTGAGAGAGAGGCAGGACAGAGAATTCAGTGACAGGTAGTTGTGGGTCTTGGCAGCTTCTCTTCTAAAAAGACAGGTAGGCCCCCGCATAGAGATAAACACCACAGTCACAGAAATGGAGGACGGTTGTTTCCTCTCCCATCAGGCATTCTTTCTGACAAAGCTGAGTTTATCAGAGTTAGATATCTAGCCATAGAACATGATGGAATATAAAGAATGGCTGTGTGTACATACGTGCACGGTGTCACCAAGTTTGCAAATGACAGAGGTGAAATCTTTAGCAAGAGCCAACTTTATTTAATGCTCACTGCATGTTAAGCACAGTTCTAAGCATTTTACCTAAACTATTTATTATTCTCCTTTACCAGGTGAGAAATTCTAGGCACAGAGAGGTTAAGTAACTTGCTCAAAGTCACACAGCTAGGAAGTGATGAAACCTGAATGCAAATCCATACTACCTGGCTCCTGAGGGCTTCCCCCTTAACTATTATGTCTGCTTTACAGCCTAGGGTCCTGACTGCAGGGTCATTCTGCAGAGCAAGTAGATACTTTCTTGGAGGGAACTTTTCGATACCTCAATGCTGTTATTATTCATTAAGTCATTTAGTCCTCTCTTCAGGGTTAGTTATCTGACCATAAACTGCCTTTGCTTCTATTTCCTCTATTCCAGTCCTAAATGTATTTGAGCCAGAGAAAGACCAGAAGCTGAGCTAGACTATTCATTGGTTTGGATAAGATTCCCAGGCCAGTGAGTGCCTCCTGACTGTCTGTCTGACACCTGCCCTTTATCAAATGAATAAAGGGGGCCTTTCCCAGCTTCTCATTTCTTCCCAAGGCCATCACACCCAGAGAGGTGGGAACTGGGTGAGCCCAAGTCCATTGCGCAGCCAGATGGGGCAACAATCCATGGCTCTCTGCAGGCAGCTGCCGCTGGTTGTTCTATCATGCTTTCTTTCCTCCTTTATGCCACAGTCAGATTCATGAAACTCCACTGCCACGACCCCTCAGTCTCCCCGAAGACTCACCTTACCCAGTAAATGAGTGAAGTGAGCCATGACATTCACAGTGGGAAGAGTTGCTTTGCCCAGAATCAAAAGAGGAGCACAATGGAGAAGTTAAACCAGGTCATGGAGAGAATACTGAAAGAATCTGGGGCCTTAAAAAATAAGCAAGATTTAACAAAGTGAAGCAAAGGGAGATGACATTCCAGGAAGAGGAAATAGCACGGTGACACCCAGCAATGTGAGAACAGAGTTCTCTGAGAACAAAAGAGAATCTGGGGTGATGAAATGGACAAAGAAAAGCGAAGGGACGCAAGACCTAAGGTGTAGCTAGGGCTCGCCCCAAGGGCTGCATCAGCCGCACCTGCAGTTTGGAATTTGGGCTGGAGGCAAAAGAAAACGCTCAGGAATTTTGGAGAAGGAGAGGGCCATAAACAGAGATAGAAAATAATTCTGCTGCCACATGAGGAACAAAATGGAGACCGAGAATCAGTTACGACACAATTGCTGAATTCAGATTGAAATAAAATAATAATTATTATTAAGGGAATCTGAACCAGGACTACAGTTTAGACTTTTGAAATAACATAAATCCCTGAGCGGGGAATTGCTGTTGTGTGAGCCACTGTTACTGATGAGAGAACATCAAATTTCTCCAAGGTGTGAGGCGAAACAAGACGGAACTCTCCCCTGCTGTGGGAGCCGCAGCACTTCTCACCTGCAGTCTGGAAAGAAAATAACTCTGGATTAGGAAACAGGTGGAAGCAGGGGCCTCACCAGTAGCTACTACAAAAGGACGCATCTGAGAAATCTGGACATCAATTGATTAGAAAGAAAACATCGAGTTAAGAAAGGAATAAAATTCAGCAGTGGAATGAGCCCTCTCTGAGCACCAGGCCATAGCAATAGCAAGGACCACAGAGGCACAGGAAGCAGCTGCCCTGACTGACCAGGTGCTCTGGCCATCACTGGCTGAAGGAAGGACCCTGGACTGGATGCTCCCAGTCACTCAAGGGGCTCCGAGACCACCACGGAGGTGGGCTGCATGCTGCCAGTGGAGCTGGAGCACACCACAGGTGACCCGCCCTCACCTGCTATTTCTGTGGACCAAGAAAAGTGGCAGTGTGAACTCTGAAAAACTGAGACAGGTCTCAGTTAATTTAGAAACTTTATTTGGCCAGGGTTGAGGATGCATGCCTGTGACACAGCCTCAGGAGGTCCTGACAACACGTGCCTAAGGTGGTCAGAGTAGTTTGGTTTCGTGCATTTTAGAGAGATATAAGACATTGATCAACATATGTAAGGTGAACACTGGTTCAGTCTGGAAAGCTGGGACAACTTGAAGTGGGGAGGGGGCTTCCAGGTCACAGGTAGATAAGAGACAAATAATTGCATTCTTTTGAGTTTCTGATTCGCCTTTCCAAAGGAGGCAATTGGACAGGCATTTATCTCAGTGAGCAGAGGGGTGACTGAGTAGAATGAGAGAACAGGTTTGCCATAAGCAGTTCCCAGCTTGACTCTTCCCTTTAGCTTAGTGGTTTGGGGGCTCAAGATATTTTCCTTTCACACATATTTAAGAGTCTACTTTGTGTTTACTAAATATAGTGTTGTGGAAGCATGGGATGGGGGTGAGGGTTGAAAAATTACCTGTTTGGTGCAGCGGTCACTGTTTGGGTGCTGGATACACCAAAAGCCCAGACTCTACCACCACACACTATATGCACATAAGAAATCTACACTTGTACCCAACAAATCTATTTAATTATTTAAATTAAAATAAATACATACATTTAGTGTCAATCTGGAGTCTGAGAAACAGTACTAAGAAACTGAAGCTCGGCTGTGCGTGCCCTGAGCCAGTCAGGGTGGAGTGCCACTCGCTTATGTGATTTGTTTATTTTAGGGCCAACTCTGTGACGTGGAATCCACACAAAATGATGGGAGTCCCTTTGCAGTGCTCTGCTCTCCTGGTTAGAGAAGAGGTATGTCTCTCCTGACTCTGTGTCCCAGTCCAGGCATGGGCTTTGACTCTTTATGTGGTTGACTTTCTCTGGAAATGTCAAGATCACCGGGTCTTTTCTATGGCGCTACTCACATTCCCCAGAGAGCACTTTCTAGATTCCTGTCTGCAGGGTGAAGGTCTGGTGCCTAGCGGGGAAGAAAGGATAAAAGGACATCAACTTTCAGAGTATAAACTTTGACCTAATCTCCTGTTTTCAATATGATACTTTTTTCCTTAAGTGTTCCTGCTGTCCCCCAACCCAGAGACCCTCTACGTCACTCTCTCAAAAAATTAAATTTCCAGTTTTTATTTTTCTAGAAACTCAGAGGAGATCATTTTCTCTATATAAGAAATATACATGATATAGGATCAAGGTTAGTGTTAGGATCCAGGTACATTACATGTATATGTATGTGTGTGTGTTCTATATCTCATGATTACAATCTATCTAATATTTAAAGCCATGTTCAGAGTGTAAGGAAGCAGCATTCTTATTAACCAGAAAAGAGAAGCAGCATCAGTGAGCACTTTCATTCAAGACGGTTCTGTTGACCAGGCCTAGGGTCGTTCTCAGTAGGTGGGCACTATTGATGCCGATACATCTCCTTTCCGTGATGCCAGGCTAGACTCAGTTCCTCACTCCCACATTTATTTTATTGATGAAACCCAAATAAGGAGTTTGAGATGATCCCCATTAAATTTTATCTTCTTAGCATTAATAAAGCAACCCCATATTAAAGGAATTTTTAAATGTTGATCTTCATTTACCTTTTTTTTTGTTTGAGACAGAGTGTCATGGAGGTGTGATGGTGTGATCTTGGCTCACTGTAACCTCTGCCTCCTGGGTTCAAGTGATTCTCATGTCTCAGCCTCTCAAGTAGCTAGGACTACAGGCGCCCACCACCATACCTAGCTAATTTTCGTGATTTTAGTAGATACAGGGTTTTGCCATGTTGGCCAGGCTGTTTAAGAGCTCCTGGCCTCAAGTGATCTGCCTGCCTCAGCCTTGCAAAGTGCTGGGATCACAGGCATGAACTACCATGCCCATTTATTTATTTTATTTATTTTATTTTTTTATTATACTTATTAAGTTCTGGGGTACATGTATAGAATGTGCAGGTTTGTTAAAAACTCAATCAGTGTGGCCGGGGGCAATGGCTCATGCCTGTAATCCCAGCCCTTTGGGAGGCCGAGGTGGGCGGATCACAAGATTAGGAGTCAAGACCAGACTGGCCAACATAGTGAAACCCCGTCTCTACTAAAAAGAGAAAATTCAAATAAAAATGTTTTCCTTTTTTCTAATTACACAGTTAACACATTATTTTAAAAAGTTGAGGTAGAACAGAAAATATAAATAAATTTAGAGTCACCTCAAATTTTTATCACTTAGAGATAAACATGATTACCATTTTTAATATTTTCTCCCACATTTTTTCTAGAAATAAATATATGTAAAAATGTATGAATGTATATTTATAATAAAATTGCTATAATCTACCTCATACATACATGTTTATTCTTTTTCATACTTTACATTAGATTGTGAGCATGCTCTCCCCAAACCTGATTTTTAACAGACTCATATTATCCTATCACATAATTCAGTGAACCATATTTAAAAATCTCCATGGTTAAAATATTGACCAGTGTTTTACAGAGTGACTTGATAGAATCCTTAAACATATATCTTTGATCACATTCCTGATTATTTTCTCAAAGTAGACTCCTCAAAGTGGGATTGCTGGGTCAAAGAGTGTTATTGCTTCTGGGGTTCTTAATACCTCCTGTTGTCAGCCGCAGATATACACAGCATGCCTTCTGCATCTTCATCAATAATAAAAATATGGACACAGGACTGAAGCAGAAGCATCCCTTCAAAATGAGATGAATGGATTGGAAAATATCCTTTCAGACTGGTTTTTCGTCAGTTAAAAATACAGTTCAGTGTATTATCATCGGCCCTAGCTCATGCAAACCTCAGCTATAATTACTTGAAAGGAGAAAATAAATTTGTGTTATTTAGATTTCAGTCAGATATTTTGACAGTGACTCCCATTATGTACTTACAGACCAAAAGAAAAAAGTGAACTGGAAGAAAATAGAACGATTTGGAACTGATTAGATGACTGCATTGGAAGGACCTACTGACTGGTTTTTAAACCCAGGATAGAGCCTGTGGCTTGGTACCTAACCTATACATTCAAAATATTCATGCATTGTTTGAGTAAAACACAGAATGTTTCAGATGAGAGAGACTTGGAGGTAGAGTAAATGTGTGAGGGATAGAATCAGAATACAAGTTGATTTCTACAGACTGGACCAGTGAGCCACATCCAAAAAGGGACATTGTTATTGGGGATCATTGTAAGGCTCTGCTCTTAGGTCCCTGTATATGATGGTTACATTTTGATTGGACAAGAAAGGCTTGTTTCTACATGGCTAAATTGTTGGACTTGTGAAAAAGGATGTTAGCTCTACAGGGTCAACAATGAGTCCAGAGAAAAATGCCACACAAAATACATTAATGAGATACAGGAAGTGGAGTTTCAGCATGAGAAGGTGGTGGTCTCCCCCTCACCTCTGGTTAAAACACACCTACAGTGCTCTGCTTAGCTTGGTACCAAATTGTCCATGGGTTTCCATCAAGCTAGAGCCCAAACTGTGGGGACCAACTGGTACACATGTAAGAGGGATGATTGAAAGAACTAAGGATGTTTAGCCTATGAAGAAAAAGAAAAGAAAAGGGCTGAGAGAAGGATGGCAGCCTTCACTTTAGTTTAAAGGACTGTCAAATGGAAGAGATTAGGATTTCCATTGCAGCTTTGAGGGGCTGGTTTATTAACACCGGGTGCTACAGATTTGAAGGCAAAATCAGAAGACACTGTGATTTTAGCTCTGACTTGGATTCAATAAAAGGAATACTAACAATCAAGCTATCCAACGATAGGGATAAATTAATGGGGGAGGTGATTAAATAGACTGGACAGCCACTTATTAATAAGTATGTAGAAATGATTCCTTTATTGAATAGGAATAAACAAGCTCTAATTCATTTACCCTACAATCAAAGAGTTTATGATGCTCTGACAGCATCCACGGAATGTGCTGTTCCATAAGATGGTAATAAGTGTTCTCCAATAAGAGAGTTTCCTGTTTTAAAAAGGCTGGGATATATTGGTTTAGAGTTAAAAGCAACTTACATTATTTCAGGGCTTATTGGGGCCCTTAATATGCTGATGTGTATTGCGGTATCTAAAAACAAAGAATAGATGGTATACGGGTTCCTAAATTTATTTCAGTATGGGAATCTCTTCATGTACAGAACTATTCATGTGTTTTAAATAGTTTGGGACATGATGGTCTAAAACGTTTTCATGGCTTAGAACCAGGACATCATCTCACTAAGGCCTTCTATAGGGAAAACAGCATCACTTTTGCTTGTCATTTTGTGCAATACTGAGACTGCAGCTGCCCGGCTTGTTAGGGCTCATGTGTTTTGAGTTGTTTTTTCTATCACAGTAGGAACAGGTCTGATCCATTCACCATTTCGCAATCTCTGAGGTGGCCTTCCTTAGTATTGATGGCACCAATGTGGGAGCTTTCATGGCCAGAGGAATAATGGTACAAAGTTTCTGTGACCAGGAAACCAAATAAAAGCATATATTGCAAATTTTCACCTTATTGGTATTCAAGTAAATTTTCTTTTTCAAATTCAATATATTTCTACTGATCTAATATAAATACACTGTATTAATTGTTCTTATTCCAAAAAATAACAAATGGATTCCAATATATTGAAGCTTAAACTACGAGGTAGAGTCTAGTTTTGTTGTCCACCCTTTCAGCACTCCGTCTTTCAAAGCCAAATTAAAATCGTAGTTGCATTGCATTGTGTTTTAGCATGTACAGTTTTCAGAAGTGTTTTCACTTCTAACTTCAACTAAGTGATCATACTTTAGTCTTGTCTTCTTTTGCCATGAGTCACAAAAGAAACAAAACCAAATGCCAAAGTTGTTGTAAAATCACAATTATACAGAAGAGAAGAAAATAGTCAAAGGTTTCCAGTGGTTCATGACAAATTGAAACACGGGGCTTTTAGTGAAGAGACTGGCGATACTGTTTTAGTCAGAAAGCATGATTCATTCACTATCCTACGGAATAATTCAATCATTTTGCCACCCATTTCTATAGTAATGTTACAGTGCTAGAACAAATGAATGGTCATTGGCGATTAAACTTTCCACTTAATTGCCTTAAGAAACTGACTATACAATTGTAGGACTGAAGCTCTGACCACTCTTGAGAGAGGAACATGACATTTGAAAGATTGGTTATTTAAATTTATCTAAAAATTGCAATGTATATGTAGGATTTTTTTTTTTAGATTTCAGCATATAAAAGTGATAGCAATGAGCTGTCTTAAAAGCTATGATTTCCAAAGGGAGCTCAAACTCGAACAGCTAAATGATAAAGTACTTGAACTAAATATGGATGGAAATACTAGAAGAAACAAACCAATAATATTTCACAAAACCAAAGAGTTTCCAAAATACTTTAATCATGACAAAACCAGAATAGTGAGATGTTCTCCCAAAGAAGGAGAACATTTAAACATAAATATATGCTCTGGTTGTGATTTTTATTGATCAGTTGATTTTTATAAATGTCTTATCTTAAAAGGGAGAGTGAAAGTATAAATGTGGCCTTGCTAACCTCTGTGACATTTGACCCTGGGCCATTGATCCCACATGGTTGACCATTACAACAAGACACTCCTGTCCAGAATTGGCCCCATCCTTTTTTTCCAATTGATTTGTACTCTTCTCTTTCTTTAAGATATGCAATGTCTCTTTCTTTTATTTTTTTCCTATTAATTTTGACCAATATAAATCTAATGAGTAGTCAGTAGAATTTTCTAAATATTCTATTCTCTCTCTTAGGGATTGATGCAGAATTGCAACCAAATGCATGCCTCCTACCTCTTTCAGCAAGATAAACATTATGACCTGTCCTATGACACTGGAGACAAGGCCTTACAGTGCGGACGCCACGTTGATGTTTTTAAACTATGGCTGATGTGGAGGGCAAAGGTGAGTGTGTGTGGACCAGGTAAATGTCAACTAAAAACAGAACTTTTATATGGTGACCCCTATTATGAAATGTTAAAAAAATGATTTCCAAATTGAAATACCTTACCCAAGATTTGCCTTCTTTAATCCTGCATCTAAATACCTTCATTCGACATGAGGAAAAATAGAGTCAAACCCACTGTTTTTTTTCTAGCCAAATTACCTCAAATGCTCACTCATCTAGAAAACAAATCCATTTTGCTTTATATAGTGGACCACTTTGAACTTGAACCGGTGTTTATTGTTATTGTTGGGTTTTGCCCACTAATTCAGTTTTTACCCGGTGATTGATCACCTGGGGTAGGTGAATGCCATCTGAAACAACACGTTTAGAGAACAAAAAAGAAAAAGTAAAAAGCCCATCATGATAGCTTATTTTTTGACATTTCAAGGGATAATCTCTAGTTAAAAAGCTTTTTTGTTTTCGAATCTCCTGAAGTACCTAATCACCTCCTTTAATGTGGCCTCTGTGTTTCCCTCTGAATTTAACTGTAAGTGACCCCTACTTTCTCAGCAAGGAAAACTTACTAACAGTGTGCAGGACTTGCTGGACCTAATTGTAGCCTTCCAGGAGCCTACATTTACATTTAAATATAAGCAGGCTGGAAAGGTCAAAGATTTTATTTTTAATGTGGACCAGATTCTTAACTTAAGTCACAAATTAGTGCCTGCCAGTCCAGCTTCATTTATCTCCTGCAGGAGGCAATGGACAGAGCCAGCTGTATATACTATAGAAACCCCAATGCAAAAAAAGGGTTCAAGGAAATCTGACATAAGAAAGGGAGCAATTAAAAGTGTCAACCTGGCCAGGAGCAGTGGCTCACGCCTGTAATCCCAGCACTTTGGGAGGCCGAGGCAGGTGGATCACAAGGTCAAGAGATCGAGACCATCCTGGTCAGCATGGTGAAACCCCGTCCCTACTAAAAATACAACAAAAATTAGCTGGGCATGGTGGTGCGTGCCTGTAATCCCAGCTACTCAGGAGGCTGAGGCAGGAGAATTGCCTGAACCCAGGAGGCGGAGGTTGCAGTGAGCCGAGATCGCGCCATTGCACTCCAGCCTGGGTAACAAGAGCGAAACTTCGTCTCAAAAAAAAAAAAAAAGTGTCGACCTAAATAACAGAGAGAAGCTCTCCAAAAGAAAAGATGTTGATCTGGAAATAAAGCATTGCAATGGGAATACATATGCCATAGTAAACTCCGTGCATATCCAAAGGAGGTAAAGGAAGACAAAAGTTTTTAAAGGAAGAAATGAGGAAGATTACATAATTGTTTTGAGATAAATATTTTTGGCTACAAAGATCAATAACAAGGGTGAGGCCAGTCCAAGGCTGGATAGGCAATCACTAGGCAGATGTCCCTGCAGAAGTATTTTTGTGTGTGTGTAAGGTTGTGGTAGCCTTCGAGCAAGGTTGTAATTTTTGCAGTCTTCTGTGATAGCTTTTGTTATCCAGTATACAAGGCGTGAGAACCCTCTCTCCCTGGTTTTCCCTGGCTCTGTCTATCAGGGTTTTCTTTCTTTCTTTCTTTCTTTTTTTTTTTTTTTTAGATGGAGTTTGGCTCTAAAATGTGTAAATCGCCTATGTAAAGAGGTAACATGATCAACATGATCAGTCCCATAAGAAAAAGCAAATAGCTTGGTCAGTAGGAGTGAAGTATACCAGGATAAGACCAGTGAAGGGATTCTTGCTGAAGTCTGTGTAAAAAAGTAGGAACCATGTCCATGGCAATGAATTCCTTATGCCTTCATATGTATTTTTTTAAGTAACCTAAATTACTTTAAGCAATTTAGATGACCAGGTCCTTAAAAAGAAAAAGAGGGAGTTTTGGAGGGAAGCAAAGCAATCCACAGGTATTTATGGAATCTCCTTTAAGTCCATTCTAGTAAAAAGATGCTGTTTAAACAGAAAGGTGATCTTGCTTAATGAAGCAATAACTCTCGGGTGGTTTCCAGGGAGGCTGGACTGTGCATCTTTCAGGCAAGCCTCCTTAATAGTGTTAACCCCAGCTGAACTTTCTTTACATGTTGCTAAATATCAGGCAGCTACATGAAGCTAAATATCAGGAGCTTTACATGAAGTGAAGCTCCACTGTGTTGCCCAATAATGGTGGGGTGATGAGCCCCCTTCCTCTTTTGAAAATTGACAGCCCAACAAGGACAGGTACCTGGTCCTTACCAACCAATGGGAGGCTCATTGTGCTAGCAATGACACTTTCATTTGGAAAAAAAAAAATCAATCAAGAATATAAATGTAACTCCAAGCTGCTTTAAAATGAGCAGGTTTTTCATTTCATTGATTGGTGGGAATTACAAGATGATGAATATAAATATCAGGTAGCAAGCTGAGGAAACCATGATCTCTAAATATTGTACAAGTTCCCTCTTACTTCAGGTAATATTCTTTGTGTCTTTTCCCCCCTGTGGTGTTTTTATTAAGATAATGATCATCAGCAATATTTACATGAAAATGTTTCTCTCATGGTTCATCAGTTTCTGCTGCTCCCTTTCCATCTGAAGGCTCCTCTCCAGCAGGGGGCAGCGTGGGTTTTTAGTGAAAGAACATGGAGGGCATCAGGTGTGAATGGAACAGCAGGACCAGATGAAGCCTGAAATAAAAGAAAGGGCCTCATGAAGGCACCGGGAAAGGGGATGAAAAGAGGAAATCACAGTCACTGCATTATTTATTCTTTTACTTCCTTGTGGAAACTCCTCCAGTATCTAGACATCTAAACGGAAAAAACTTCCAGTTGATTTTCAATCTAAACCTTCGTATTTTTTTTAAAAAATGAAATAATTATTATTAAAGTAATAAGCTTAGTCCTACAATCTAGATCAAAGGTGAGGATAATTGTACTCTCACATCAAAGCTCTCTCTCTAGCCATGCCGGCCAAGGAAGAAATCATCCTCTTCACACAAGAGGAGCCATGAAGGAGTTGTCTATGATGTTGTAACTTGCCTCCCCACAGGAATGAGGAAACAATCTGGAAAAGAGTAAGGAGGAGGAGGAGGAGAAGGAAGAAGAACATAGTATTAATTCAGTAAACCTCTGTTATCAGACATGCCTGGAGAATTTGCTGTTTTCCACATTTTCTCCTAAGATAAACCCCATGAAAAATAGCCTAAGTATAAATTATTATTCTTTGAATTAATCTGTTAATGACTAATGGAGCTAAATGCACTGATGACAGCCATCATATTAAATCCAAATTAACCTGATTAGAACAAATTTATATAAAAAATAAGACCCCTGATTTGGAATGCTAAGAAGCGTATTAGATGGTTAAGATACAGATGTTTATCATCAGGAGAGGCCTGGTGCCTAACCTCAGCTCTCTTCTTACAGAATTGGCCTTTCATTTTGTCTCCATTTTATTTTATAATCCTAGGACCTAATGATTATGTTCCAATGTTGACAGATTCCTACAGTGGCTAAAACTCAGTGACTGTCAAAAATAAGTAAATAAACTTAAAATCACATCCCCTCCACCCCGCCTTTTCTTTGAGATGGAGTCTCACTCTTTTGCCTAGACTTAAGTGCAGTGATGCAAGCTCAGCTCACTGCAACCTCCATCTCCCAGGTTCAAGAAATTCTCCTACATTCCCTTTTTAGGCCTACAGGAATGGCTTCATTTATAACAGCCAAGGTTTCATAGCAAATCTCTGTGTTTGCATGTAGTCATAACAAATTGGCAGATTTACGTGTGTGTGTGTGTGTTTATGATTAGCTTTTCTAATTAAAAAATTTACATAACAGAGGGACTGGCAAATGACTGAGGAATAAAAACTATCTGGAAACAATTATTAAAGGTAAATGGATATTTGGCATCCTTTGCTGAAAATGGCTGAATGTTCACTTTCTCTCTAAAATACTATTTTAATAAGTAGATATTGAACATCTATTATCATGCTTAGTACTGAATGGGATGAGAAGGCTCTCATTTTCCAGACAGGATAAGATAAATGCACAGAAATCCATCATAAAACACAGATTGGGACTGGTCACAAAAGAAATCCAGACACATCTGGGGAATTTAAAGGATGGAGAGCTCTTTCCAAGTTTAAGAATCGAGATGATTCACAAAGAGATGACCTTTGAGATAGGATTTGAACAGGATAGGTAGAAGAAGTAGGATTTCACCCAGCAGTGCTGTGAGAAGGCTATTCCAAGGAGTGGTTGAGTGGGAGTTCAGTGCATATTCTGAGAGTACAGAAGAGTCTGATTGACTGAAGGAAGACTTGGGAGCTACATTAGAGGTGAAAAGTAACAGACACTGAACTAGCAAAAATTGAGATAGCAGCAAGGGATTCGGTAGTTATTTCAGAAGCACCATCTCTGGGGCCTGAGAATGTTCGTAAAAGCATTTCAAGAAGCGGAGAATGATCATGACCAACTCTCAAGATGTCAAGCCCCAAGACCACATGGAGACAGCAGCCGAACACTTGGACAGTGAGATTGCTGAAGAAGACCACATAAACATTGTTCATCTTCCTAAAATTCTGGTTTGGGAGTCTGAGGTGGGGCTTAAGGATCTACATTTTTAACACAAATAATCTGGTTCTGATATAGATCATTCCTCAGATCATTTCTTTAACTTTGTAAAAGGCTTCAAAGTTATTCACTTATTCATTCAACAAATGTACATTGAGCACCTAATATGTGCTCAGCACTGCTCAGAATGTGGAGGATTTAACAGTGAACAAAAGAAACATAAACCTGTGCCCACATGTAGTATGTGTTGCAGCCAGGTCAATCTAAATCAGTCCTACATGTGTGGGTCAGGAGACACTAGATAAAACCATCTTTCCCCAGAAACTCCCCCAGTGGAAGCTTGACACTGGGATCCGGCCTTTCACTTAGAAGTACCTGGCCGAGCCTCCAGCATCCTCCACAGTGGTTCAGGCTATGGGGACATGTTCCCTGATAAAGTTTCACATGTGTATCTGTCATTCTCACAGTAAGAGCTGTATGGCATATGATTTAATGAATGTGAAAGTATTTAATGAATGAAAGAATTTTGAAGAACCTCCTAAAAGCCTTCAAAACCTTGAAAATAAAATGTGGATCTTATTCCCATAAATATTCAACATCAACGGGAGGCATCTAGGGCACACTAGAGTTTTCTGTGTCTTTAGCCCCGTGTATGTCTTTAGCCCCCAACTAAAGGGGCAATCACATGACCCATGATCATCCCCATAGCGAGGTCCCAGACCACGGGGACCAGAGGTCTCATATCTGGTTTTTGGCAATTCCATTGCCATTACAGTGTAAACTTTTCTTCGTGGGAAATCAGAAAGGCATCATCATTCCCATCTGACCAGAGAGATTAGCCAAGGCCATTCAGCTGGACAGGGTCAGAGTCAGACTGGTCCACCATATCCTAGATCAGATATGCAGAAGTTTAAACCCAACTCCAGACTGGTCCAAAGGATCCAGGTTGGAGAAGAGCAATTAGTCTCCCTCTCTTCTACCTACAGTCCATCCCAAGTGAACCCAAACTGTCAGGTCAGTCCAAACCAATTCTAATCTCCTTAGCATGACAGATGCACAGAACTCCTGGTATAGGTGCTGGCCAAGCATTAGGCATCAGCCCAAGTCCTTCCTGGGGAGGCATCAAAAACCCATTAGCCTCCTTGAACTGATCAGCCATGGCAGCAGTCTCCGAATAAGTGAATTTCTGAACCCATTTGATTTCTCCAGGAAGCTTGTTGTTAAACCTGCTTCAGATGTCACAAGTCACTGGGCTATGCTGGGCCCCCTTAGGTGAGATGATGTAATCTTGTGTGAAACAGGCAAGTGGGCCCATCTTATCTATTACAATTGCTTTCTCTAGTTTCCCTGCTGGAGGAGTTACTGGTAGGCAGGTTCAAAGTGCTTCTGGGATGAGCATTGACTTTTTCTCTAAGCTTTCTCCATCAGCACCCACTAAACATCCAAGGAGATAAGAGGAAAGCCATTTGAAAGGCAGCTCTCTTGTGTGTCCTGATGTCAGTTAAACAGCTCCAGTACAGACTCTTTTATTAGTTTTCCCAAGTCTGGATCCAGGGCTTCCAGAGCCAGAAACTAAAAGACCTGCGTGATAATGTTCACCCATTATAGACATGAGGCATTTATCTACCCCCAAAGGATAACTCTACAGAGCTTGATGAGCTAGCAGAGCATCTGGGTGCTCCCTTAAATTCCTGTATCCATTTGTTCAACGAATTCATTGAGCAGCTACTCAATTTGTTCCGAATCAGGTACACTGGCAAACAAAAATGGACTCTGGGAATGGAAAATGTACAGGTTGGAGGGGGTCTAAGCAGGCATTCAGGGGAGAGGGGTGTCTCTGGTGATGCTTTTTATCTGCAGGAAGAGAGAGAGTAGCCCAGCCCTCCTGTTATTAATGACTTCCATGATTACTCCTATGAATAGCACAGGCACATTTTCTCCTTGAGTAATCAAAATAATTGCCTGGGGAATGGAAGCTCTGGAAGAAATGGAGTCTGTGTAGAAAGAGTAATGAAAGGGAACAAAAGCACCTGACAGGGAGAGCATTGAAGAGAAAAGCGTGCTGAAAAAGCCTATGGAAACAGTCTTTTTTTCTTTCTTTCTTTCTTTTCTTTTTTTATTGCATTTTAGGTTTTGGGGTACATGTGAAGAACATGCAAGCTTGTGTCGGGAAAGTGCCAGACGGGCTGAAAAGGAGGCGGCAGGATGACCACGAGTCTCCTGGGAAATTGCTTCCTCCGCCCTCTCAGCCTGCCTAATGAACTGTGTCCTTTTCTTACCTAGGGGACTACCGGGTTTGAAGCGCATGTTGATAAGTGTTTGGAGTTGGCAGAGTATTTATACAACATCATAAAAAACCGAGAAGGATATGAGATGGTGTTTGACGGGAAGGTATGTACTTGGATTTCTACTATCCCAGAAAGTTTAGTCAATTCCAACTCTCATCGCTGATACGTTTCGATGTAAATGACGAGCTGTCCAGGTAAGTGGGACCATCACAAAGGGGAGCAGTGGATGGTGGGGTAGCTGTTACAAGCTGGAATAAAGATCAAACCCACCAAGCAGTCTGTCTAATGTCAAAATCAAGCCCCCCAAAGGCAATGCCTGATTGAAAAGTGGGAATTGTGTTCTGAACCTGCTGAATACATCTATTTGAAATGTCCTTGGAATTTTTAAATTGCCAGCCTGGGCCAGATGTGAATCCTCCTTTCCTTTTTGTAGCCTCAGCACACAAATGTCTGCTTCTGGTACATTCCTCCAAGCTTGCGTACTCTGGAAGACAATGAAGAGAGAATGAGTCGCCTCTCAAAGGTCAGTGCTCGAGCTCCTCTGATAAATGTGTGTATTGAGCCTTTCGTGTGCACATTTTCTTTATGACATATGCCTATGGCCTTAGGAGAAATCCCATCTGGGTGCATGGACCCACTCCCTTCTGTGGGCTCCCACAGACCTAGGATGTATAGAACCTGATATATGCAGCCTTTTTTTTTTTTTTTTTTTTTTTGAGACAGAGTATCACTCTTATCGCCCAGGCTGGAGTGCAGGGGTGTGATCTTGGCTCACTGCAACCTCCACCTCCTGGATTCAAGCGACTATCCTGCCTCAGCCTCCAGAGTAGCTGGGATTACAGGTGCCCACCACCATGCCCAGCTAATTTTTGTATTTTTAGTAGAGACGGGATTTCAATATGTTGGCCAGGCTGGTCTCCAACTCCTGACTTCAGGTGATCTGCCCACTTCAGCCTCCCAAAGTGCTGGAATTACAGACGTGAGCCACCGCACCTGGCCTATGCAGACTTTTAACAACACTATTTGCTTGTTTTCTGAGAATGAGTTTATGATGTCTTAAAAGAAGTAGTCAGGTGATATCCTTTGTTGACATTCACAAAGCAGCAAGAATGTTGCTGAAGTTCTCTGATCTTCCAAGTGAAACTGGTGCTCAGTTACAAGCACAAAAGAGACTCCAGGTACCAGAAATGGTTAGCAAAAATACTGCCGCTGACCCTCTTGAGCTGCCAAGATCAAGGCTACACTGCAGGGTTCTTAGAGCTGTGGTGGCCCCCAAAAGGTAGGAGGGCAAAGAACAATAATAACAGCCACTGTTTGGAGTGTGTATTGTGTCCCAGCTCGGTATCAGGTGTTAGGTTACTTAAAGCCTCAGAGTAACCTGACATGGGAAGGACTGTCCACCCATCTTGCTGATGGGGTAACTGATGCACAGGGAGAAAAAGTAACTCCCAAAATCTCACAGAAAATCTGCCTCCAGAGCCTGAGGGCTTGAGCTTTAAGTTGTACTGTGGTCAGTAAGATGCCCTTTATCTTTCATCCTCTCCTGCTCCCAGCACGTACACATGAGTGAAATATGGTTTATAATGCACATTGAAGGGGAGTATATGCAGGACCTGTCCCCCATGGAAAACTAAGGATGATCATGTAGAATTGGAGCTCAGAATTGATTGGTTGATTTGGGGGTTCCTTTCATTTATCGCGAAGGAGGGAACCTCCTCTAGTCACTGCCAGGAGCCCCGCAGGCTGTCTGACCACCTCTCAAGAGCTTGGGCTGCCTCAGTGACCTTTGGGAACACTTTATTTCCTTCTATGTAAAATGAAGAAGAAGATTTCGTGTAGATTAAAAACCTTCACTAAAGTTTTTAACTGTTAACATTTGCCCTTAAGCACCCAGGATCAAACTCCTCATTAGGAGGCAACTTACACATGGTTGAGGTCTTTAAACCAAGCCTCCTAATTACAGTAGTGATTCGTAATCTTGGCCATACATTAGAATCATCCAGGCACTTTATAAAAGACACAAGTGACCAGGTGTCACCCTGAAAATGTAATCAGATTGTGCTTGGATGGGCCTGGGAATGATTCTGAAAGTTATCCAGATGATTCCAGTGTGCAGCTCAGCTACAGAACCCCCGACCTAGAGGAAAAGATGGAAGAACCAGGATCGTGGTGCTTCTAGAACCAGGTCTGGCTGGAAGGGACTATGGTTATGTTGGATGAGTTAGTGGAGTAGGTTCATTCCGGGAAAAGCACACTCACAAGGTGGGAGGGAAGGCATAGAGGTGGTCTTGGATGAGATGCTCAGTGCAGGCAGTAACAACGAACATAGGGGCTGCGGGTGTCTGCTGTCATTTGAGAGGAAAGAATTCACATTTTTTTCTGGAATTTTTATGGTATGCCTTCATAATGTAAAATTTATTAACAATGATTAATTTTATTTAACCTGTTAGTTAGAAATTAGATGCTTCCATTCTTTTTGTCTTGCACTTCCTTATTGAACTGACTGACCAGAAAGAGAATCGTGGACTAGTTTGGCTGATTTCATTTGTTGAATCAGTCCATTTTCACTGGGCTGAGGGATAGAACAAGATGGGAAGATAGAAAAAACTTTTTTTCTTTATTTTCTGAAAAAAGTCAACTTGGAGGCTCCCCCATTTAAATATCACTCTTCAAATGCCTCCTGCGTTTCAGCACCTCATGGGAGCTGTGATGAGGAATGGAGATGGAGATTATTTCCTGGAGATGGCAATTTTAATATTACCAAACTGTTTTTATGCTGTTGACAATTCAAATATAAAAGTCTCTGGGGATTGCAAAATGAATTCTCCTGATTTTTCTTCATTTTTTATTACTGTAATTAAGAGAATTCAGCAATTCAGATTTGGAAATGAAAAGAACCATGTGAATACCAAATTTAACTTTTGTTCATCTATGCCAATGACTTTTTTAGGCTTTCTGGAAAGTTCTTTATTAAGTGTAAAGCCCTTAATGTATAATGTCCAGGAACAAGTATAGAATATTCACAATACACACACACACACACACACACACACACACACACACACACACACACACACACAGAGTCTCAGAAGGAAAACAGCTGAGGCAAATAATGTGTGCTGTCCAATATGGTAGTAATAACCACACGTGGCTATTCATATTTAAATTTAAATTGATCAAAATTAAATTCAACTAAAAATTTGGTTCTTGAATCACACTAGCCACATTTCAGTTGCTTGACTTGTGACCAATGGCATTGTATGGAATAGTGCAGATATAGAACATCTGCATCACTGCACAGAGTTCTCTTGGTCCACGCTGATATAGATAACCAAAATGGGGGGAAACATGGAGTTCTCTGTGGGAAACAAAAGAATAATGTGAAATTCTGGACAAGACAAGGCAGAGAATTACTCTTTGTACCATCTTGCCTGATTCGTAACTGTAGCGCACAATAGGAACTCAAAAATCATTTGTTGAGCTGAAATTCTATCTTAGTCTGGTTGGGCTGCAAAAAACTAATATAGACTGGGTAGCTTATAAACACAGAAATTTATTTTCACAGTTCTAGAGGCTGGGAAGTCCAAGATCACAGTGCCAGTAGATTCCATGTCTGGTAGAAGGCCCACTTCCGGTTCATCAATGGCCTTTTTCCCACTGTATCCTCACATGGCAGAAGAGGGCAAGGAAGCTCTCTGGGGTCTCTTAAGACTGTGCCTTCCTGACCTAATCACCTACCAAAGGCCCCACCTCCTAATACCATCACATTGAGGGGTTAAGATTTCAACATATAAATTTTGGGAGGACATAAAAATTCAGTCTATAGTAAATATCTTAGGCATATTCCAGAATAAGGAAGGGAAACAACATTTAGGAGACCTAACGCTGGATCATAGGCCTTTTCCCAGAGTGCACTAGCTTGGGGACAAATATCTAGATAACAGAATTTATTAATAAAGCAAGCATAGTCATAGCTTCATGAGAGTGGTAAAGATGAGAATCCAGTCAGTGTCCTTCCTGCCACCCAGCCAGGACTAGGATCTTGCAGATGGCACTTTGTCCCTGAGACAGTGTAGATGATGAATGCATGGGGCACTACGGGCATGTGACCCCACATCCATGCCTTAGACACAGGGAGCAGCAGCAAGTAGGCTGTGCCAGTGTTTACCAAACAAGAATCAAAAGGGCTGGTCTGTTAATCACCTCTTGTGTTTTTTATTCTTCATCTTCTTTTTTTAATTTTCATTATACTTGATCACTATCTGGTTCTGTCAGCTTTTATAGTCCTATACTGATTTGTGGACTTTTAAAAGGTTAGCAGTGGATTTAATACTAAATTTGTAAGGAAATAGTCTGGCCTTATATTTAACACAGACTCTTTGAAAGTCTGTGTTACTAAGTGCAATAGAAATTTTAGTGTTTTAGAACTTTATTTAAGACAGGGTCTCACTCCGCTGCCCAGGCTGGAGTACCGTGGTGCCATCTCGGCTCACTACGACCTCCACCTTTCAGGTTCAAGCGATTCTCCCACCTTAACCTCCTGAGTAGCTGGGATTACAGGCACCTGTCACCACATCGAGCTAATTTTTATATTTTTTTGGTAGAGATGGAGTTGGGACAGGGTTTCACCATGTTGGCCAGGCTGGTCTTGAACTCCTAACCTCAAGTGATCCACCCACCTCAGCCTCCCAAAGTGCTGCAATTACAGGTGTGAACCACTAAGCCTGGCCAATAGTTTAGAATTTCTCATTTAATTATCCTGCTTTTAGATTTTTCAAAAATTTCTCACAGTCTTCCAAAATGTAAAAATAAAGAGGTTTTCTAAGACATAGTGAGAAATACATTTCTGTGATATAGTTTAAGTTTATTTCATGATGCTTTGCTATGTACCCTCTTTGAAAGAGACAAATGTGGATTCCAATTCTGGAAGAATCCCCTGGTTATTGTTTTCTAAAGGACTGAAAAAGCTAATGCCACAAGAGAGAAGACAGTACCCTAAAACTCTTAAGGCAGCCCCAAGGAGCTCTTGTCGACTATGCCTTCAGGGAATTCTTCAACATGCAACCACTCTTTCTCAACTACCCTTCTTTATTTAGGAAAACTAAGAATCCAACCAAAAATACAAAAGCCGAGAAATTAGTGAAATCTCTATGTATATCATCCAAAAGACCACTGAATGTCTAAATAGTAGAAAGGAGAGATTTATTGGTGATAGCAGTTTGCAAACTGGGAAGAGACAGCCTCCAGCATGTGCAGAAGGTGCTCTCCCTTCCAAGAGGGAAAGGGCAGGTTGGGTTTTATGCCTGTATCACAGTAGAGTCATACATATTCAGTAGGTTTTGGGGGGAAAGCTATCCATACTTATGAGCGGAGCTAAGCACATATACCATGAGTAAACATATGTGTAACATACATCTGATGTTTACTTCAGAGAAGGGTTTTAGTGTTAAAATGAGGTGGAATTTGGCTCTTTACATCAAAAGGTGAACTGTTGGACATAAACACAGTTGGTTCACGTGTCTATAAGCTACTAAAACTAGCTTAAGGTCTGCAGTTGCTTACCAGGAAATAACGTGTGTAAGGTCAGCCTTCTGTCAGTCAGAGTTGTATTGGTCTGGGTAGTAAATGAGGGCGAGGAGGGGTCTCATAGCACATATTGTTAGGGAATTTCAATCATTAGGAATTTAGTAATTTGCCTCCAGCCAGGCCCTGAACCCTGGACCTGTAAGTAACTTTGTTTCCTTAACCTTGGTGTCCATCTTAGTTGCTATGGGAGTCTCTATTTTGGTCTCACAGATCACATATGTTCATCAGAATAGTCCGAATCTTATTTTCCTTCTTAACTTGCAATGAATGAATATACAATAAAGTAGCTGTTCCATGTTCCAGCTAATTTTAGTTCATCAGCATTTTCTGGAAGCAACCAAAAGTCATATGTATTTAGACAGCTGTGATTTCTGCCAATTCAGCTTGCTTCAGGAACTGAGGGGATTCAATCTTACTTTATGCCAAAATCTGTTTGGTTGTGGCTGTTAGCATTAATCTTTTAACCTTTGATTTGCATTCATCTGAAAAGCTTCAGATGATTGTCCTTAATAATTAGTGCCATTCTTCAGTATTTTTGCTTAGATTGCCCATGAAAACTAAATGAGAGTTTCATTTACTGAGTAAAGCTCTGTCATTATTTTATCAGTTCTAAAGAGCAAGAATGATTTATTATGCAAATAAAACTAAGGAATAGTGATGTGACTTGTCCTTAAATTCCTGCATCCAAGTGAATTTGGAATTCCTTTTCTAATTTGAGATTTCTCTTTGAAAGAATCACATTGACTTGACATGCCTTGCAACACAAAGGATAAATTTCTTGCCCCTTTGGCTGGAGTATTCTAGTAGGTATGTTTTCAGAAGTTAATCCCAGACTTGAGATATTTAAATTCTTCTTATTATTTTTTACCTGGGATGAGCCCAGTGCTCTGCATGTATTCTTAATGCTTTAAGTGAAAGAAGGATAAGTCCAAGAGAAACATTCCTCCCCATGGAACAAGGGGTGGTAAGGGATATAAGAACTCAACCTAGAATAAAAAAACTCAATGTTGGAATCATCATCCACATCATTTTTAGATAAGGAAATTAGGTTCAGAATGAGAAGTGAAGGTAAAGGTGAAGTCTGTCTGTTGACTTTGCCTTTGGTGACTAACGAATGATTGGACCCAGTGGGAACTTTGCTGATTTTATGCGTTGACTATTTTGAAGATGAAAACTTCATTATAAACCAATTATTTAAAAGTTGATATTTATAAGTCACAGGTTCCTAACAGCATTCCATTTGAATCAAACTGTCCTTCATTTAAGACAAATCCAGCTGTGATATAAGTTATAGTCTCCATTTTGAACTGAGTTTCTGACCATATGTAACTTAAATAAGTGTAAAGTTTTTCTGACGTCTACCATTCCTGGTAGGTATTTGCAGCAATGAAGATCAGATATGATATATTTACAAACTCCAGTGGTAAATATATGTGGACAGATTGTATGTATGGTTAGACATGATTTAATTTTTTGCCTCTGCCTAGATAGCTGTTTCTATTATGCTACTCTTTATAGCAATAAGAATTTAGAAATCCTCCAACATGTACCCAGCACTATGCTAGTAAACAAACAACAAAAAAGTAGAAGACACTGTGTCTGCTCTCCAGGACCTGATAGTTGAGGTAGAGGAAAAAAATGTATTTGCGCAGAAGTAAGAGGATAGTAGGAAATTAGCATATAGTCAGAATCTATGGGGAAGGATCATGGATCATATGTTTACAGCTTAAAAGAAGAGAGCTACTGATGGCCACTAGAAGTCAGGAAAGGCTTCATAGCAGTTGTAGGACTGTAGTGGAGTCTTGAAGTAGGATATGAACTGGAAGAGAAAAGGGATGGATTCTAAGTACAGAGAACAGGTCTGACATGGTAACACTGATAAACAAGTGTGAAGAGATAAAAATATGTACAGCAAATTCAAGATATATTTAATAAAGGAGTCTTGTCAGAGTTGAAGATTCATTTTGGCAAATTGTGGAAGATGAGCCCTCAGAAATGGGTGATGAAAGGTCTTTGCATTGAACTAGAGTTTAAGGTTAATTTCATACACAATAGAGAACTACTGAGGCTATAATCAACAATCTGGCATAAATAGAGTATAATCTTGTCCGTGGTGTGCTATCCTCTCTGTGATATGCAACATATGATAAGTCCTTGAGGGTTCAGCTTTTTGCCCAGCTGATTCATCATTATTATTAAGGAATATCTTTCAAAATATAAAGTGAGGCACTGCAAAAAGAGAATGAAAAGAAACTAGAAAACTTCAGGATTTCAAGAAAGTTGTCAAAAGTCTGCTTATCTTCATATATCACCTGATACTGAAACTTACATTTTGATAGCAATCCTCTGAACTGTTTTATTTCCAATGTTTTTACATTTCCTATTGGGGAAAAATGCCCCCAAACGTCTTGCTAAACCATCTGTCCTTGGGTCCAATATAAGATTCATCCCATCCTCCCAAAACACAAACTGGAAAGTCAAGGACAAGGTGGCAGTCACCTGATAGTCTATCATTTATTATTCCTCTTATCCCCTGCAGGATCTTGAATGTGTTAAACTGTTCTAGTTCTCTGATTCCAAGAAAACTTGGGGGTAACTCAAGAGAAAACAAATAAGGTTCTGGCTGTTGAGCTAAAGACTAAAGACTGCTTGCTGCTGGGTTCTTTGACTCGGTAGAATCCCAGGAGAAAGTCATCACGCTAATATGGTCTGTCCCACAGGTGGCTCCAGTGATTAAAGCCAGAATGATGGAGTATGGAACCACGATGGTCAGCTACCAACCCTTGGGAGACAAGGTCAATTTCTTCCGCATGGTCATCTCAAACCCCGCAGCAACTCACCAAGACATTGACTTCCTGATTGAAGAAATAGAACGCCTTGGACAAGATTTATAATAACCTAGCTCACCAAGCTGTTCCACTTCTCTAGGTAGACAATTAAGTTGTCACAAACTGTGTGAATGTATTTGTAGTTTGTTCCAAAGTAAATCTATTTCTATATTGTGGTGTCAAAATAGAGTAGAGTTTAAAAATTAAACAAAAAAGACATTGCTCCTTTTAAAAATCCTTTCTTAAGTTTAGAATACCTCTCTAAGAATTAGTGACAAAAGGCTGTGTTCTAATCAATAAGGAAAAGCTTAAAATTATTATAAATACTTCCCTTACTTTTAATATAGTGTGCAAAGCAAACTTTATTTTCACTTCAGACTAGTAGGACTGAATAGTGCCAAATTGCCCCTGAATCATAAAAGGTTCTTTGGGGTACAGTGAAAAGGATAAAGTAAATATAAAATGTATGTTGACAATAAAAACTCTTGCCTTTTTCATAGTATTAGAAAAAAAATTTCTAATTTACGTATAGCAACATTTCAAATGTATTTAAATACATATAATTTTACAAAAGGAAAATATATATATTAAAAAAGATATCCTATTTTGTAACATATAGATTTTTATTTTATATGGGTTATACAAACTGCAGGGGCAGATATAAAAATGAAGCCAGATTTTTTTTTTCCTTTCTCTTAATGGAGGCACAATAAAACACTTAGCAAAGTTATTTTGAAGCATTGACCCACAAAATTCTTAAAAGATAAGATTCCTTCTTTCTACACGTTATGGCTTATCACATCTCTAAAGTTAGTATTTCAAGACAAACAGAAAAGAATATTGCAAGTTCTTTAAAATAATTGATCCAATTGGCGATAAGAATCTCTTCCCCTTTAAGTTTTCCATGCAGTTTACTCTTAGCGGACTCACTCTGTAAGTGAGACAAGCCAAGCTTCATCTCAGATTAAATTAGGGTAATTGTCTCTATTCTGCTTTCCAATTTGGCCTGTTTTGAACAGAAGGTTTATTCTCATTCTTGAGGCATCTTCCAAATAGTATTCTTTTATTAGGTCATTTGAATTAATTAGAGAAAATAAAAATAAAACCTAATCAGCCTGAGCAAAGAGGAATGAAGCACACTCCCAGAATATGGTAAGCCCAGAAAATTAAAGTTGGCCTTGGAAGAAGAAATCTCTGTGGGACAATAATGGCATCATCCTGGTGCCATATTCCCACTGTCCAGGAAAGAGAAATTTACCTCCAGCGCAATTGTTTAATTCCATCCCCTCCCCATTCCTACCCACAAACTCTCTCCTGCTAGATTCCCTACTACTGAGATCCAAAATAATTAATTTATATTCCATGGGTCGTTGTTTTTCTTCCATTAAATGAGCTTCTCACCCTAGAGTTTGAGACACTATCTTAAGGTTTTCCTTTATCTATCTCTCATTGAGATCCAAAGTGACCAGAATATGCAGAAATAATAAGATCCTTAGATTCAAAATAGTATTTTTAAAACATCCTTCTTTCCCTGTGAACCTGATAGAAAAACATGAGCTAACAAAAGCTTCCACAGATATTTACGGGGTCACACATTGTCAGATTCCAAGTCCTGATAGGAGGATACTAGATTCATATGAAAACTGCAAATGCAAATTTAGGAACATTTTCCATTTCTGAATGGACCAGGCAGTTCAATACTCAGACTACAGTTATACAAGGGAAGAGAGAAGGCCCTGCCCTTCAACATGTGGAAATGCCCTACAATATAACATATAGAAATGCCCTGTAATATAATCAAAGGATCCAACCATCTGAAATTTTCCTAAGCTTGCCCCTACATTATTTCTCCCAGGTTATATGCAAAAATAGTGATATTTTATATGAACATGGCTTTGGGCCCTTTCTGTCTAGAAAGCAAATGGGTTCACTATGATGATTAGAACTAAAGCCTTTCATCTGTGCCACAGAATTTCCTGAAGGAATAACCTTCCATTCTAGACTTTGTCTAATGGCTAAGCATCCCTTTCCTTTCTCAAAACTGGCTGCTGAGAATCAACACATAGCTGCCCAACTATCTTGAGCCTCAGGCCCAAAGGTTCCACTTCAGAGGCAGAAAAGCTAATTGATCCAACCTGCTGTCCTTCTTGGAGAAGACAGTGGGGCCCAATGCCCTGGTGAACCAACCTTGCTCTACTCCAGGATGCTTTATCTCTTGGGTTACAGACCGTGGATTGTAAACTGCTGCTTTTTAGGTCAATGAGATGATACAATTTTCAAGGACAATTTGTGTCTATGTATGAAATTCCAGCAAAACAATTCTAGCAAAAACAATAGCTCTTCTTCCCCACTGCCCTACCCCTTCCCAATACTCCTTCAAATTGGCCGAGAGCCTTGCTTAGGCCTGTGCAGGGAAATTCTTACCAACTGTAGCCCAAAGAAGGAAGCAAATAAAAGCCCAGGTCCCAGTAGTTTAATAAATAGTCTTGAAAGGAGGTGTGTAATCTGCACAGAAGAGAGGGAGGGAAGGAAGGAAGGAAGGAAGGAAGGAAGGAAGGAAGGAAGGAAGGAAGGAAGGAAGGAAGGAAGGAAGGAGGAAGGAAGGAAGGAGCAAGGAAAGGAGGGAGGAAGAAGGAGGAAAGGAGGGAGGTAAGGAAGGAAAGGAAAGGAGGAAGGAAGGAAGGAGAAAAAAAAGGAAGGGAGGGAGGGAAGAAGGGAGATTATTTTGAACATTAGCCCACATTCCCAGTGGCATGGTCTTTATGTGGGCCCATTCTTACAAATCTCAGAAAAGTTTGGTTTTAGCTTTAATCAGAACTGACATGGCCATTTTCATTTATACAGCAATATTGTGTTTATCATTTCAAATACTTGAACAAACAAGTGTGATATGTCTTTATCTGAGACCTGCACATGGTATGAACTTCATAAACCATCACAGGATGTGAGGAAAGAAAAGGAAATCAATTGTGTCTGACTGTGTTGCCTTTATTATCTTGATAGTACTGTCTTGTCACCTCAGACTGGGGTTGTGCACTTTAGATCTGAACTGTACAGTGTTGCAAATCAACATGTGTTTCTGTAAAAGCTTGTACAATATATATTATTGGTATGTCTTTTTTGTGTGGTAGCTCTATTGAACTTTGATATTATGAAAACTACATTTGCATCTGTTCCTGTTCTCTCCCTTTCCTAAACTATATGCCCTCCACATCAGCTGTAATAGAGAACATGCCCTCAGCTAAGCCCCTTACCGAGAAACTTCCTCTGAGAATTGTGTGACTTCACAAAATGCAAGGTGAACACCACTTTGTCTCTGAGAATAGATGTTACCAATCATGGAGTGTCACCAGCTGCCAAAATCACAGGTGTTGGCTCTGCTGGGCAGTGGAGTAGTTGCTACTCTTCAGAATATGGACAAAGAAGGCACAGGTGTAAATATAGTAGCAGGACGGGGAACCAAGGAACCTCAAACTGGGTATCATCTTGCACGTGCTCTTCTGTTTTCAAATGCTAAATGCAAACATTGTGTATTTATTAGTTACGTGTGCCAAACTACTGTTCCCAAATTGGTGTTTCTGGATGACATCAGCATTCCCCCAACATTACTTCATTACTAAAGACAGAAAAAAATAAAAACATAAAATATACAAACATGTGGCAACCTGTTCTTCTTACCAAATATAAACTTGTGTATGATCCAAGTATTTTATCTGTGTTGTCTTCTAAACCCAAATAAATGTGTAAATGTGGACACATCTCAGGCTGTGGATAATTGTTCTGACTTTGTCTTATGGTGGAGATGATTTTCAACAAATTGCTAGAATCAAAGGCCCTTCACTTGTCAAAGAGCTCGACGTATCTTTGGGTCTTTTGCGGCAAAAAAAAAAAGCTCTTCTGCAGCTACCCACACTGTAGGTTCTGAAGGATACCTTTGCCCCACTCTGGTTTCTCCTTCAATCAAATCTGATCTTTTTTAACAAAATATTTTATTATGGAAAATTTTACATACATAAAAAGGTAGAGAAAATAATATAAACTTCTTTGTAGCCTTCACTCCGATTCAACATCTACTGATTCTGAGCCTGAAACTTGTTTCACCCATTCCTCTACCCCACTTCCTCCTCAACACTAAATTATTTTTATATGAACCTCTAAAACATTAGGAAACTTTTTTTTTTGAGCCAGAGTCTCACTGTGTTGCCTAGGCTGGAGTGCAGTGGTGTAATCTCGGCTCACTGCAACCTCTGCCTCCCAGGTTCAAGTGATTCTCCTGCTTCAGCCTCCCAAGTAGCTGGGACTACAGGTGCACACTACCACACCCCTAATTTTTGTATGTTTAGTAGAGACAGGATCTCACCATGTTGGCCAGGTTGTTCTTGAACTCCTGACCTCAAGTGATCCACCTACCTTGGCTTCTCAAAGTGCTGGGATTACAGGTGTGAGCCACCACACCCGGCCTGGACTCTTTTTAAAAAATGTCCTCAATACCATTATCACAGCTAAAAACATAATAATATTGCCACGACAATGTCAGCTATCCAGCTACTGTTCACATTTTGCCAGTTCTTAATTTCGTGGCAAAGCCCATGCCTGTGGCTCAGAAAACCTGATGAGACGATGTGTTTCAGGACAGCTGAGACATCTACAAGTGAGGCACACAGTACCACACCATATACACCCTGCTGTGCATATGCTGTGTCTATTTTCCAGTGTGCTGAGTCTATTTCTGGACTTCTGTGAGTTGCAAGCTGTAGTCTTGTGTTCAGCGACTTTGCTCTCAGGCTCTCAGGAGCAGAGGCTAAGAGGTGTGCCCAGGTTAAAAGCTAGAAAGCTGTAGGAATTGAACAGATAGAATAGATATGCCTGATGTGCCGTGTTAGGTCCAGGCTGCCCCAACAGGCTTGAGTTGCCCTTGATGGTAAAATTCTGGTGTAAAAAGATATAATTTTTAACAGAGATGGGGGTACGGAGGACAAAAAGGGGAGGATGTTGAATTTCTAGCTAATTTCAATGTGGCTTATAGGAGAACCAGTAGAAGATGGCCAGAGTCTGTGTAACCCTGTCACTACCAGCATCTGTACTGCCTAGAGTTGTTCTCCAGCTGTTTGCCATCTGTAAATCTGGTCTTTCCATTTTTCTTTGAGGGCAGGGACATGCCTTCCAGTCACAGACTTAGACAGCTGGAAATAATACCCTTGACGACAAAAAGAGTCAAACTCTGTAAAATATTTGAAGAGATTTATTCTGAGCCAAATATGAGTGACCTGTGGTCTAAAACACAGCCCACAGGAGATCCTGAGAACATGGACCCAAGGTGGTCAGATCACAACTTGGTTTTATACATTTTAGGGAGACATAAGAAATCAATTAATACATGTAAGATGTACATTGGTTCATTTCAGAAAGGTGGGACAACTGGAAGTGGGTAGCCATAGTTAGATTCAAAGATTTTCTGATTGGGAGTTGGATGAAAGAGTTGTTATTGACTAAAGACTTAAGAATGTCTGGGTTAAGATAAGGGGTTGCGGAGACCAAGGTTTTATCGTGCAGGTAAAGCCTCCGGGTATCAGGCTTCAGAGAGACACTACGTTGTAAATGTTTCTTATCAGACACTTAAAGAGTCTGTTCTGTCAGTAATTCCAAAAGGGAGGAGGGTTTAATGAGGCATGACTGACCCTCCCTTCCCATCATGGCCCAAATTAGTTTTTCAGGTTAGCTTTGGAATGCCCTTTGCTGAGAGGAGGGGTCTATTCAGATGGTTGGGGGGCTTAGAATTTTATTTTTCATTTACACCCTGGAAAAGTCATCTAATGTAGAGTTTCCCAAACCCTGGGTTTTGGACTCAGGGCAGAGTAAAGTTGTGTCTAATCTGTGGCCAAATGAGAAGCCAGGACAACCAAGAAGTGTTTTTGTGAAGCTAAAGCTATTCAATTTGAAGGACAGTCTCGTCTCAGACTGTGTCCTCATTATATTTTTAATTGTTACTGTTCATAAGATATCCTTCCACTTAAAAGGTAATAGTGATGACACCTCACCTGTCAAAAGAGTCAGCAACTTCATTTTGAACCCCTGCATCATAAAAATTAGAGTGGTATATAAACCATAAATCCAAGAACCACCAATTTCATCCAATCTTGCAGATTCTTCCTACCCCATTTCAGGGTAATTATTATTCAAATTGACTTGAATATTTACAAGTCAAATTGAAAGCTTTGAAAGACGGCAGATTGTGGTGTAATCTACGTGCTACTAGAAGCTAAGAATCCGCCAATTGTGTTTTCATTTTCAAATGGACACATATCCCACCACCTCTAAGCACTGGATTACTCCTACCTGACTGTGTGCATTTTACTGCAATTTACCCAGGCAGGTGCTGTCTTTGCCTTCACCCTGGCAATGCAAAATCATGAGATTCGTATCTTTTTCCTCCTCAGCCATTTAACGATATCAGAACCTAGGATCTTTCATGACATTTCAAAGAAAGACAAAAACTTCAAAATTAGTCCCTGATAGATGGATGAGATGCTGTGACTATAAAATACCAAAATATTTTTGCCTCACTCTTTCGTTCACATCAGAGTGAGTTCTGGGGCTGCTTCGTGATGTAGACGGTTCTCTGCTTCAGTGAGGAAAGTGGAAACTCTTCTACTTCACGTTTGTTTCCTAGTCCGTGATTCAAACAAATTCACACATTTAACAACATCTGCCACTGCATGGAAACCAACAATTCTCTGCAACATAGATCAAAACATCCATTTAGGGAAAGCACCTGGTTTAACATCTGCCTTGTTTATGCACAGAAAGCTGTGATTTGAAGTGACTTTCTAAACTCAGTGCTTTTTAAATATTGGCTGTCCCAGTTAATTCCCAGGGGAAGTCAGCAGTAGAGGATGGGGAGGGAGATGAGTATGAAGAGAGGGAACAAAGCTGCTATTGCAGTTTTAGCTCCTTCATCCCAAAAGGATATTAGAATTTCTTTCCTTGTGGCCTTTGATGAACTGCAATTACCAAATACAGATGCATATGTGAGTATTTTAAGACTAAATAAGGAAAGGGATTTGTTTTCATTGTAGAAACAATATTACTATTCCAGTGTATATGAGAGTTTTAAAGATGCCCCTACTCCCATCAGCCTTGCCTGATACTTTTTTTCGTGTGTAATAGTAAAAAGATTTCAATTACCCTGGTCACCCAAAAAGCATTTATGAAAAAAAAAATTGCAGATGTTAATTCTGAAAGACAAGCGTTCTTAGGAAGAGAATTTTCTTCTTGTACTAATGCCTGCTGAAGCATTGAGTCTTATTAACTTTCTTCCCAGGGATATCCACAGCCAAGCAAATACAAATCTGACTTAGTAAATACTGGGTGTGGCTGGGTGCAGTGGCTCATGCCTGTAATCCCAGCACTTTGGGAGACCAGGGTGGGAGGATCACTTGAGCCCAAGAATTTGAGATCAGCCTAGAAAACATGGCAAAACCCTGTCTCTACCAAAAGTTCACAAAAATTAGCAAGGCACAGTGACACACATCTGTAGTCCCATACTCAGGAGAGATGGGAAGATTACTTAACACTGGGAGATGGAGGTTGCAGTAAGCCGAGATTGTACCACTGTACTCCAGCAGGGGACAGAGTGAAACCCGGTCTAAAAACAAAGGAGTACTGCTATGATTTCACAGGAGGAGGTATCGCAAAGATCTGGGTTTGCAGCATCTTGGAAATCTAGACTCCTGCCAGGAGAGGTCGGGTCTGTGCACTCACATTTTCATTCCTCTCACATGGAGACTGCTGGAGCAGCAGCTGGAGTCAGACGGCCTGGCCTCTGATGCTGGCTCTTCCATTTATTAGCTTTGTGGCCCTGGGCAAAGCAGTTAACCTCTCTGAACCCCAGTTCTGTCATCTGTAAAACAAAGACAAAAATAGCACTTACTTCACAGGGTGATGGTGAAGATTCGAATGAGAAAAAAGTCTGATGCCTGGAAGAGAGTGACTGCAACGTGTGTTGATCTTACCTTTATTTGGTGGTGTCACTGAAAAGACTAGGGTTAGACACAGGTCCCTCGTGCTGCCTAAACTCACAGAGAATACCATGAATTCACACATAAAGGATCATGAACAGCAGTGTCACCCCATAGAAAGCCACTTATGAGGCATCCCTGAGGACAGCAGGCAGCCCCCACATCCTTAGTCCTAGCTTTATTAGTGTCTGCATAGAGACGGAGAGGACTGGGCAGGAAAGTTGAGGGAAAAAGGAAGAGCAAGAGAAAATCAGTTATTTTCGTTGGAATTCTGACCTGCTATTCATTCTCCAGGTGCATCCTTGCCTCAGACATGCATCCACAGAGATTTAAAGCAAAATGGCATGAGACAGAGGTTCTGGCTTCATAAGAATTGCGAATATGATCACTTGCCTAATGGTTACTGGCTTCCATTAACACAGTGAGAAGTAGTCATTGGTGCCAACTCACCATTGTTTGTGTCCCCCCAAATTTCACATATAGAAGCCTATCCCCAGTGGGAATGGTATTTGGAGCTGTAGCTTTTAAGAGGTGATTAGGTCATGAGGGTGGACCCCTATAAAGGGGATTAGTGCCCTTATAAAAGAGTCCCCAAAGAGCTCCCTCACCCTTCTGCTATGTAACGGTGCCGTGAAAAGTCTGCAGCCTAAGAGTGGGTGTTCACAGAACTCAGCCGTGCTGCTGCCCCGATCTGAATCCTCCAACCTCCAGAACAATAAAAATAAATTTCTGGATGAGGT